CTTTGGATAATACGATTATAGGTACATTCACACCAAGTTTAAAGTACAGAACAACTTCAAACAATACATTGATATCTATCTGTTTTGTGTATACGCAAGTCTTGCAGTAGGTAGGGGGAGTAGTGGTAAGTTACTCAAGTACAGAGCGTATATCCGTTCTTGTACATGGGTGAAAAGATGCCCAGTTTATTTTATTTTCAACTTTATTTGCGCGTACGTACGGACGCGTATTTTTGTGTGTGCTAGTGTTTACTACGATTACGTATACGCTTATATGTAAATAGGTGTTGGCATACATGGAATGCAGTAAACTGGCTGTGAATTTGAAACTCTCCCGCTAGAAGGTCTGTATCGCAAATTCTTCACCGGTGAGAAGTTGACGCCGGGCGTACAGCAGACGCTCCAGTACTGAAATATACTTTCGCATATGCATATACATATATGCTTTGAGATATTCCCACATGTTCAATACACATGTTGATACATTGTGGTACATGGATCATAGACCTGGCGAAGAAGCTGTAATTCTCCCTACCAAATCACGAGTTGGATGCATGCGATGAAATGCACCTTTACTCAACATTTCTTGCGCTCGCACCAATACCAACACACACCGACATGTATGCATCCAAGAGTACTCACGAGTATGTGCATGTATATATATATATATATATGTATCACAGAAAGCTGGCGGAAAAGTAGTTAGACGCCCTACTAAAGAGGTGTTCTACATCCTACCAACGGGTGAGAAGATGCTGCCAGGTGTGCAGCATGTGCTCAGGGCTGACTATGTATACGAATGTGTGAAAGCCAACAAGCTTCTGAATGTCTACAAATATAGGGGATCGGAACCAGTTGATACTATGCTGCCTGCAGATAGGTATTCGACCTACGTCTGTGTTGTGAGGGAAGTAGTGTGTATGTTCAGTGGGGTTATGCCGATGTATGTTTATATCGCATGAAGGTTGTACAGAATTATGCAATGCTGCATTGTAGATGCATATCTCTGTGTATACGGGCATGTTCATATGTGTACCGTCGTGATACTTTTGTTTTCGCATAGAGGTATTCGTAGTCAAGTTCAACGAGCAGAACTCCATTGAAATAATACACACGTCATAGAAGATGTCAGCATACAGGAGGTGCAACACGCGCATTTGTCATATCTACACACTACTAAAATAAGTGCACAAGTGAATGGACATGGATCGCCAGGTAAATTAACAATTACGAGGTAAACTAGGCATTGCTGGCTGTCATATACGACACTCGCAGGTATCATCTATGTAAAAAAACTATTGCATGTTCACGGGTACTTACCATGTTTGCTTGCGCATACATATATCTCATATCCATACTGTCCTACCATTAAATCGTACAGCCGTGAGGCCAACCTAAATTCTTTTGAGAATAATTCAGATGGTAAGTTTGAGTATCAGGCAGGCAATTCCGGTAGCGAGTTTTATTGAGTATATATACGGTATATCATCCGTATAATCGTGTGTACATGCTATACTTCGCAAGACGTATCTTCACAACTAGGTTTTTGCACTCGTACACGTGTGCACACACACACCACTCTCCAACATCTCAACTCGTTTTATCAAATCTCACAGCCCTATGGACACACAAGACTCGTCGATGAACGCTCCAGATGGCAAGGCTGCGGTGACAAATACTTCTGGTAGTGAATCTGTAGATGCGGGCGAATCGAGGAATGATACAGCGGATAAGAGTATGCGCTTTGTAAAATAGTTCCTGCGATTGTCGTTATGTTCCCTGCTAATGTATTTTCGGGTAGTATGTGAGAGTCGTACGAAAGTAATTCAACAAGCGTGTATTCTGCTCTTAGGTTCCTTTTTGAATTATTTAGCATTCCAGATAGCAAGGCTCCAGTGACGAGTTTGTTGTAGCGAGTTTGTTGCTACGGGGGACTCGGCAACTTTATACCGGCTACGAGTGTAAGCCTTGTAGATGTTTTGTCTGTGATTGTGTTCGTCAAGGAGATACGTGAGAGCCCACATTTCCAGGGCGAATACTTCTAGCCAGATCATGTCTTGGGTCATCCGCAGCCACGAACTCAATATCGGAAGTATCTGTCGCCGGTGACTTGTTACACTCACCACGAACACACTCTAAAGAATACATCATGGTGAAAACATACTGATGATGCAAATTTTCTCTCTCTCTCTCTATATATATATATATATATATGTAT